ACTATTCCAGCTAAAAGTAATGTATTCATGATTGCGGTTACGCCTGTAACTGCTTAATTAAGCTCGACGTTTCTTTTGATCTAATATAGCAATTAGATGAAATCTGATGATTTATTATCGTCAAACAATTAGCATTTTTGCCTTTATTTTGCTGTTCAGCTAATGATAAAGTAAATTGTGTTTTTCCAACTGTTTCTAACAAACCGCCTGTTTAATGTTTTAGTGATCACCGGTGAAAATATGGAGAAGCCTCTTGGAGAAGCACTTTGTTATCAGGTAAGTAATATTTTCAACTGTTTAAGGATGGAAGGTGTTTTCGGTCAACAGGTTGCGAACAAAAAAGATTTGGGCTTTCAGTAGTAGTTTGCGAACGAACTATTTTTCTAGACCCAACATTTCGGCTTGATTTTTAGACTGCGGTGGTTATAAACGGCTTTTTGACGAATTAATATTGTACCTTTTTTCCTTAATTCCGGACTTATTGATTTCTATTTTTCTTCTAAACACAAAAGGCCACTGAGACATTCTTCATTCAGTTATACTTGCTAACAGATATTTTTTGTGCAAAAACTATGAGTGCTACAAGCTTTTACAAAGAGAACAAAAACATCACATTTTTTTAAAAGAATGTTGACACTTTTTTGCCAAATTGAACATTTTTTCTTAGTGAAAGTTAGGCGGGATCGTTTTCCTTTGATTCAAATAATATCGCTTCGAATATTTCTTTTTGATCAAGTGCTTACCACACACTCTGTATAGCCTGATTGGTTTCACATAATTTGCATATTTTTATGCGGCTATTTGTAGCCCTTTATATAGAGAAAACTTGCTCTATTAATAGGCGAAATTAGCAAATTTGTTAGATTTTTGGCGAATTTTTTGATACATGTCGCGGTAATATCCAATTTCGGATACACTACTATTTTTTTAAAGTTTTATTTGCAAAACGGGTATTTATATTTTAAGCCGCAAATGTATCAAGCTCGAGCGTAGCCATGCGTAGCCATGTTGCCTCTATCCTAGAATCCCATGTGTGAGAGAGAGAAAATCGGTACCGACTACGTTCCTAAATGGAAAATCGTTTGGTTTAATTAGAAATTTTTGAATATGCAATACCTAATTTCGGTCTTTGACTGAATCGGTAAATCCGGATTAAATAATTTTCCAGAAAAAACTGAGAATCCTCTCAAGATCGTAATATACGTATATATATTTTATTAATTTGTTCATCTGCAATTAATTGCTCAAAACACTCTTATTGCGTCTAACCGTCGCTTTAAAGCTTCTAATTTGGGTTTGTATGAGGACTATCGAAAGACTTCTTAAGGGATAAGACGCGCCCCAAATCGCAATTTTTCAAACATGTCGTTGAAAGAGTAGTTTCCAATGTGTTTTCGAGTGTTTTCTCTGCTGTAGTATTTTGAATCATAGCAGATTTTTCCAAAATTGTTTAGTCAACATCGGATTTTGCCCAAAAAAGCCTTAACAAAAACTAGCAAATTCGCATAAAAGCTTGCCGCTCTTGGATACACTTTCCATTGTCGACGTTCCAGGCGAAATGCGTTTTCCATTCAAATTCCCGGCACAACTTTCGGATTCTTCCACTAAAATGAACCCAGTCTTCAACCGCGGTTCTAATTCAAAAATAGCGCCGCCCTATAATTTGGCCAACTTTGTATTAGAAAATGTCCCGTTCCCCCTTGGCTTGCTGGATTCCGTATTCCCTGTATATTTCGCCATTTATGTGTTTGATGTATCTGGATCGTTCCCTTAACGTGCCTTCTGTGAGTGAGAGAAGAGAGACATTTTGTCAACCGATTATGGAATAATCCAGGAAAATTGTAGAAAGCATGCGAATTTTCCCCGGACCAAAAGGATTTTCATTTAGAATCAATTGCCAGAATGTTCATCGGTGTTAACTTTGGTTGGTCGAGCCGGATATCGAATAGAGAACATTGTGCAGGTTTAATTGACTTCACTAAGGCATTGTATACAGTTAAGCACTGTAGCTGCTGATATTACTAATTACCCGCATGGAGAAGCAACATTTAATGCTATTAACGTATGTATTCATCGGAGAATGTTTCTTTTTCTATAAAGCCTTGCTAACAAACAACAACTGATTCAGCAAAAATAAATCCTTTCGAATGATCGGGAACAATCGCTCAAGCTGGCAAGCACGCAATTAATAATAATCGTCACTGCCAAATAGTTTGGGCCTACTGATGTTGGCAAAATTTCCATCCAATATCTCAGCGTTCAGTACGAATTTTCCAATGTTTTCTCCACTTTCTCAGGCCCACACAGAACACCTCGAGAACAATGAGACCGTTATTGGAATCGCCCTGTTTTTAAGGCGATTTTTCAACAGATTTCCATCACTCACGTGTCATTTGACTTTGTTGTCCCCCATTCGCGAATTCGGGCACGCGTTAGAAATTAAATATCAATAATCAGAAAATTACAGCAATTGAGAGGAAATTACACGTTAAGTAGACGAGAGGAATTCGGCGTGTGCATAAGGTAACATAACGGTTTCTGACACACACAAAAAACCGTTTTTGTAAAGAGTTTTGTTTGTTCGAATGCCCTTCTTGGCCAAAGTATCGGATGACGGGCTTATTCAATGCGAGCGCAATTTTTTAGCGGGGTTTTGTTACAGCCCTAGTGGGTGTTACCGGCTTCTTCCGGACACCCTGTGTATTCGCCCTCTGTTCGGCCGGGTTTTCACTCCCTAAGGATCTCCCTTGGCTGAAGCCCTTCACGTTCTTTAAGTAGGTCGATCTGAATATTCCTTTTTCATAGACTTCGAGCCCTGCCAGATGGTTCAAAAGTTGCTCCATCAGTGTCTTTTTTAGGTAATTTTGTCCTGTAAAAGTACTGCTTGTTAATCGCATTTGCTGGACTATAGTGAAGACGCCTTTAGTCTTAAGTGATCGTCTTAATAGAAGGTAGATTTTAGGAATGGTAGGTAGTCTGGGGCAAACTCTTTAGATTGGAAAAGGTGTAGACATTGCCGATCGGTCTGTGGTGCCCTTCTGAGCCGGTTTTCTGAGCAAGATTTCGGACTCCATATTTCCATATTCAGCGTTTAACGTGTTTTCATTCCCTTTGCTCTGAAGGAGGAAATACATTTTCCGAAAAATTGACTCAGAAGATTTTTTGCATCAGACATAAAGGATTGAAGCACGTAACGAATCAAGAACTCGTTTTTTCAGCACTAATCAACGGCGATTTTAAAGTTTTTYGCTGAATTTTGCAAAWTATTTCGGRTATCCATTTAGAAGAAGSAACATTTCTMGTCTATTCTCTCTCATTCTTTCTAAACCAAGCTTGGRAYMGCAAAAAGTTGTTCTTTATAAAAACTRCGTGCTARAAATGCYTTGTTYAARGCAATTTTCCATCATCATCATCRCATACATGATTTCCGRAAAAAATGCAAAAATTTCACCSAAAACAATTATAAATAKTTMCGAAAGYAAGAATGACTGAAATCAAAATTTCCTCAAAATTTGCCAAAAAATGTAAYTCCAAATCCWTCGAGCTCTTGTCTGCTGCCTGAAGRCCAGATTTTCATCTATATGCTCTWAAAGTTTCAACTTGCATCCTTCATCAGGCTATTTGCTGCGAATTKTTGAAGCCAGGCCAATCGGTTCAAATGTCTTCSTTTTCTGACTGAGGCTTTGCGACACTGTTAGAGRTGGAAATAATGCARAAAAAATGGTTTTGCGGTTAATTTGCCAGCGTCCTGCTGGTTTTTGGGAGGTTTGAMGTTCCAGCTCTTATAAGAGTCGGTACTAAGTTTTCGGTGTTTCACTCCTGCACAATTTTCCGGGCGCAAACCTGAGAATTTGYGAAATTTTTCCCATTTTATTTTTATCTCCTAAACCAAGGCTCRCATCGCAAAAASTTGTTTGTTATAAAAYATGCGCCTGATCATGAACTGACTGASAGYCAATTTTGGAGAAAATAAGCAAAAGGATTGTTTCTGAGCAATCTCGAATATCTCCAGAACTGAACCTGATGGACTAATCCTGAGCCCACCGATTTTTCAGGGTTTTGTGCAAGTTTAGGTTCAGCTCATATAAAATCCTTTATTTTTCCCCGCTTAACTCATCCGAGGATTTGTTGAACCACTGCCCATAACGTGATTGGACGAATTCGTCAACAATCACTTCACCGGGCCTCCAAATTCAGCAGATTTAAGCCTGCAGGATAAAAAAACAGTCGACTTACAAACCGCACAATCATATAGCGTGTGATATTTAATTTGATTAGCTCCCATTCATCCAAAGCAAGCGCTACCAAAGTGATTATCATGTTCGCTTGATGTAGGAAAAAATAGCGGGCGCAATACAAAAACGCGCGCCTTAAGTTGTCAATTCACAAAGCGAGTGATAACAATGCTTAAGAAGTTTTCGCCAACCAATATCTTCAATTCAATCAGCGATGAACGAAGCCTTAATCCGACTTAGCAGGTCAGTCTAATTGTTGCAGAGGTCATATCATTTGTAATGCTTAAGCTTTGTTTATAAACCGTGTAGTGTTGTTTGAATTGTACGCGCGTCTATTTCGTCTTGGCGACTCGAAAAGGATGTTGTAGGATATAACAATGGGCTTAAACTAGGACGATAATTACCTACTTAAGTTTGATTAAACGTTAAGTGTTTAAGACATCTACCGTATAGTTGCCAAAAGCTTTTACAGCAGGTTGGAGGAATTTGGGATGATGTGAAGAGTGCCACTCGATATTTTCATCTACTGTGTGTTGATACTCACATGGAGTAGAATTCGCCTTCGTATA